TACAAGGACCCAAGTTCGATCCCCGGTACCAAAAAAAAAAAAAAAGAAAAGAAAGCAAGCACAATTCCAACTTCTTATGTTAGTGAATATAGTTTTAGACTTGATCTTAGCCAAAAGGCCAAGAAGTGATTTAGTTAGTGAATATAGTTTTAAAGCTAGATATTGAGTCCCTATGAGTCACCTCATTTGTGGCTACCACAGAATGAAATGAGCAAAATATGAACACAGGGAAAATTAGCAGTGAGGCTTTCTGTGTGCAATTCTGCTTTCTTATTTAAATGAATAACTTTCAAAGATTAAATTCACATATATTGTATCTTATGAGATCATAATTCTGGTGAAGACATGAAGGCTAAGAAAAGCAATAACTACTTAACTATCAAGTGTGTGAGAGAGAGACAGAAGAGGAAGGAAAATTAAGTCAGGAAGCTTTCCTTTGGATGTCAGGGCAATGACTATAGAAAACATGCTAATTTAACTGAGCACCAAGCATTGTCCTCAATTTCATGCTGGGGTTTTAAAGTAATAACATCTCTGGAATAACATGCTTCCTTTCTCTTATAGATGGTACCCCAAGAACACAAGTCAAATCAGTTTTGTTTGATTAGATTGATGTTTGGAATGATCTATACTAAATCCCATCCTCTTCTTTCCCCATATGCTCTTTTTCACTTAGACTTGGTTTCAGAACCAGAGAACAAGGCGCAAACAACGAGAGTATAAATGTAACTTTGGGAAATCTCAAACCCAGGTACAAGACAAGCCTCACTTCAAGCAGGAAGGTAAGGGCCCCACCCCTATCCAAATACAATTCCTACATGGATCTATTTGAGAGTATAAACAACTCTATGTGTTTTGCCCAATTTTTGTCTAAAGAATGCTTAGAATAGGAACCAAGAGTAGCATGTCCTGGGCATCCTAGTGCCACAGACAGCAAAATTATCTCAGTATTTAGGGAGGGGGAAAGGCAGATTCTTAGCACCAAAACATTGTACTTTTTACTACTGCTGATCAGTGCAGTGTCCTGTTGCCTCTGGGGTTTTGTCTCAAGGATAAGACAAGAAAATGAGTTCCCAAGGGGTATTCATAGAAAAAGTGATTAGGACAATATTAAAAATTTTGCATTTCAAGTTTGAATGTTTACACTAACATAAAAACCCTATCTTATGCCCATGATTTCCTTTGGTAAAGAAACCAGACAAATCAGGACAAACTTCACAAGATCTCAAATCAAAGCCCTAATTCAAGCCTATGATAAGAATCATTTCCCTGGAATTGCTACCAGGAAAGAACTGGCTAAACAAACAGGCATTCCAGATGAAAAAATTGTGGTGAGTTCTCTATGTGTGGCATTTTTGTCCCACCTACACATGGTATTGCCTCCTGAGATGTTGCTGGATGAATGTGGGCTTCTTGGGATCACTGTACTGCTCAAGAGAAAAGGCATTGATATATATATATATATATATACACACACCTGGCCTTGCAAGTCAGAGTATGAAAGGGGGCCAGTATTCACCTTAGTTGTCAGCAGTACATGCTCTGAGAAGCAGTAGCAGGACAGAAGTGGAGAAATGTGAAAGTTGGTACATATTTTGAGAACACAATCTATGTCAATGTTTCTCATCCTTGCCGGTATGACCAATTCAAGAGTTATGAAGGTGCTTTCCTGTGTGTGGTGAGGATGTCCTTCAGCATCCAGGTCTCCATGCACTGGAGACTATGGAGACCATGTCTTTATTCCACCCCTTACTGTAATAGCCTATGAAATCTAATGATGACCTGCACTAGGGTAGAGAAAATATCATGCCCTGTTGATAATCTGTGTTTTAGCAAACTCTGGAGATTGTGATTCAGTGTCCATTAAATATTCGTGACTTCTGAAGCACGTCCATAAAGTACCCTATACAGAACTTTCAAACACTCCCATTTTTCTCATCCAACCAGTGGTTGTACTTAGATGTCTGTTCAGAAACCTCGTGTTCCTCTATGCTCCTTGGTAAGGAGGAGAGAGATTTAATCGTCTCTAGAAAGCTCACTCATTTCCTGACCCAGTGTGAGGATGAAAGGGCAGGTTCTAGATCACCTGTCTTTTCAACCAAAGTATTATTTCCTCTATAGCAGTGACAGCTATCACTTCTCAGCCTTTTGGCTAACATCAAGTGTAGCAGTGATGGCAAACCTTTTAGAGACCAAGTGCCCAAACTGCAACCCCAAAACCACTTATTTATCACAAAGTAGCAACACTGCAATTTTCTGACCATTAGTACAAGGGAGCAATGTTCTGCTGACTACCAGCTTTTGCCTTGCTCTGATAAAGGCATCTGAGTGCATTTCTTACCTTGTGAGGGCTTCTGCTAAAATTACAGCCAGTCCAAGTAATATATATAGACACATACATATACATATATATATATATATATATATAT